TAGTCCCCTTAGTCCCCTTAGTCCCCTTAGTCCCCTTAGTCCCCTTAATCCCCTTAGTCTCCTTAGTCCCCTCAGTCCCGTTAGCTCTCCTAGCCCACCCTCAAAAAAGGTACTATAGATATAACATATGTCGACTGAATTCTATATATCTTATGTATGTATACAGAGGACCCTTTTTTATAAGAAACAGGAGACAAGGAACCAAAGAATTCTTGAATTCTGAATTTAAGGAATTTCTTAGTCCCCTCAGTCCCTTATTTCAATTTGAAAATCAAGTGCTCTTTTTTCTGTTTAAATTCAGATTGAAATTAAATAACCCATTGTATGGCGGATATAGGGAAGTGTACACTCACACTCACACCCACCCCGACACACACCCGCATCTCATCAGCACTATTGAATTTCAGTCTTTATAAATGAAAATAAATCTTCAATATTTGTCGAGATATATGTAGCTGAAACTTCAACTTAGACAACAAATTAATCCATATGTAAATAATCTGCATCTATATATTCACTATCGACCATATTCATAGCTTATCTTACAACGGTCATTACAATAAACTAATACCAGAAAATGCGTCTAATACGGTATTTTTCTCTATATGTCTTTGGCCTGTTGGCATTGGTATCGGTGTTGAACGCTTTGCCCCCTTCTGCTTCCGGTGAATCAGTTCTTCCTGAAAAAGGTTGTTTGGGCTATTGCTCGAACAATAGTATCTGCGTAACGGCTGACGATGGTCCGAACTGCTATTGTCTTCCCAGATGGATGGGACCACGTTGCGATAGACCTCAAGAGCTCACTGAAATTCCAGTGTTGGGTATTTCCAAGAATGTACCAATAAATCTACGTCTACCAACGTGTCCAACACCAGTAAACCCATGCCAGAATGGTGGATCATGCATACTCACCACTCCAAACATGTTGACATGCGTTTGTCCAGACGCTTACGCTGGCTATTTATGTGAAATAGACGGTATGTATAATTTCAACGCCGATTCACAAGCTTCTTAGTAAAAGATTTTATGTAATCTTTATAGACATACCAGTTAAATAGTTTTGAACTTAGAAAATTACCTTGTCAGATTTGAAGCATAAAATTTTAATGACTTCAAATGGGTAATCCCATAGGAGTAGCGAATCACTTTTTGTTTTTGTCATTCTTTGAAAAGAAACGATAAAGATAAATGTGAATCCTGTATTTTTAAAAAATTAACATGAAAAAGACTAATAGAGAGCTCTTTTGTCGAACAATACTGTTCCAGCTCATTTAGGTGAAATTCATGTACAGCCGTAAGACACTCAGTTACGGTGCAAAACAGCAACTGTTTACTATTGTCGAAAACTCTACTTGACACTATTTTGCAGTCATTCTAAACAAATAACGTAAATTCTTGACGTCTTCGACTAGTGCAACGGTATGGCGACTATTGACAATACTCTTTTATCAGTGTGTTCCATCGTTAACGTTAGCTTTAAAACATTGTCTTAACTTTTATTGGTTTCTGTTGTATATCGACATAAAAAGTGATGAGTGATGATGGCCCTCTCTGGTTCAACATAAGGAACATGTCGTCATGTTCACTCTCAGATAGGATTATGTAAATAAATTTAGAAATCAAAATATTTCACTACAGTTCTGAGTTATACTTACCACATTCTTACGAAAGCACTAACCAACATTGACACTATTCCATTCTTTACATATCTCTTCATAACCTTTTTTTGCTATTATTGACTTCCGTGAGCTTCATGTACCCTCCACCGCAAAAGGAACTTAACAAAAGATCATGCATGGAGTGAAGACTTTCTCGTAAGACCGAGAGTCAGAGAAGAAAGAGAAAGTTATGTCAATAGACTTCTGACATAAGGGTAAATCCGTGGGATTTCTACCACTTTGTGGAAGAAGGATATTCTGTGCCAGTGTTCTCAAAGAAACTATTTTTTTCGATTTTGATAGTCTAGTTAGACGGGTCATAGTCGAAAATGGTCTGAGGTAACAATTAGAACGTTTTTGGATGTATAAAGTGTGGAGAACCACATCATTCTTTAGGAACACTCCACATGTATAAAGGGTATCTCATAATAACTAATGATAAATTGTTAATGATATGTTTCCTACTTTTTCTTGACATAGAGAGCTGAAATTTTTATCAAATATATATCTAATCAAGATCTTCTAGTTCTGAGAGTTACAGCTCACTAGCTAAAGCTAGTGGCGAAATACATCAATTTTTTATTCGATTTTTGCAGTAGTTTCATACTAAAAATATGCAATAATCAAGTACGAAACTTTATACATTTCAGTCTTGTCGATATATTTCACCAGTTGTTTTAGCTAGAGAGCTGAAACCTTCAGAAATTAAAGATCTTAATTAGATATATATGGGATAAAAATTTCAGCTCTCCATGTCAAGAAAAAATATGAAAAATATGATTAGTAATTTATTATCGGATACTCTGTATATGTGTGGAGTGTTCCTAAAAACTGATGCGGTTCTCCACGCTTTATATGTCCAAAAACGTTTTAATTGTTACCTCAGGCCATTTGCGACTATGACCCGTCTAACTAGACTATTAAAATCGAAAAAAAACATTTTTTCCACAAAAGTGGTAGAAACTCCACGGATTCACCCTAATAGCTTTCAACACATTTCTTTATTTTTATCAGAGTAATACTAAAGTATCATCTATATATAGCAGAGATGCGATCCGCATTGAAAATTTTAGGAATCTGACCATGAGAGTGTCTCTTCAATCTACTCGATTTTTGTTTATACCGAATATGTGCAAACTAAAACATAGATGTATACGGTGATAGAGAATTCCGGACTATTTCAGAATATATAACTATTTTCTTAACGGTATACTGTTATAATAGCAATACATTTTAAAAACCGACCAAAGCTATTTTTTCAAAGTTAATATAGACAGCTGCCCAGACGAGGGTGCGATTCGGGATCGTGATGAGTCTTCAAAGATCTCTTTTTGTTCGAAGACTCACAAAAATATTAGAAATTTTAAAAGAACTCAAAAACTTCTTTGAAAATTTCTACAATTCAATATTTTGAAAAAAATATTGAGTCGCAGAAATTTTTAAGAAAAAAAAAAAGTTCAGCCTATCCCTTCAGATTTTGTCACTTTGGGATACAACAGATACATCTATTCATATTCGAGTTTTGATACATTTGATACAAAGTTAGTGCGTATTCTTTGAGAACAATATTTGAAGGTTGATTGTAGAAGAAAAACATTAGATTGCAATTGAAGCTTACCTTTAAAGTTTTAACTTTTGAAATAAAATAAGAGCCCTATGAGCTCTTATTCTGCCGGGAATTAGTGAAACAGAATGGTATTTTCTTCTGGAGCTCCTATGTATGCATGCACCGAACTCAGGAAAAGATCGTGCATCTCGAGTTCTGTGTTTTTTGATTCGGTCGCTCACCTAGTAGGAATCGAGAACGTGAATAATAGAGAAAAGAGGCATGCGCTAATTAAAAACATATTTTACATTAGAGAATTCGCTTCCTATTGAATCTAGGATAAGACATCTATTTTATTAGGAGATTATGGAATGCAATGAATTCAATAAAAGGCGAGTTCACTAATGTAAAATCTTTTTAATTAGCTATATATGTTTCTTCTATTATTGACGTTCTTGATTCCGACTAAGTAAAGGCGTGAATCGAAGAACGACGGAACATCTGGAATAACTGAGCCCCCAAAAATGGCCGAATTGAGGAACGACCGGACTCGAGAAGTTTGGATTCAGTACATGCCTGCATATATCGTAGGAGAATAGATTATAATAGATGGACTATATGGGAATTGCTTTGATAAGCAATATCCAAGAGAAATAGTATAATATTCCGGATCTAAGGCATATCATCAGGTGCTCGATGCATGGTAAAGTCACTAACATGTCTCAAGCTTATTTTTTCTGACTAATTTCACTTTTTTTCGTTTATATATTATTCAAGTGTGTCCAACTAATTTCTGTTACAACGGAGGTATTTGCACTCCTACTTCTGGCTTTAACGTGCCGCCATTTGAATGCAACTGTCCACTAGCTTACACTGGCACTCGTTGTGAGACCCAAATCTTACCGGCCCCGTTTGACATGTGCAAATTTTTATCAACTCTATGCAAAAATGGAGGAACTTGCTTCATGAATTTCGGCGTGCCAAGCTGTAGATGTCCATTAACACATGCAGGCCCTACGTGTGAAATATTACTTCCAAGACCATCACCAACAAGTACGTCTTTTTGATTAATATGCGCATTGGTTTTTATCTTTTTTTTTCAAAGAGAACTTAGCTCTAAAAAAAATCAATCCTCGGTATTCAGTAACTTCATCTTATTTAAACAATGTTCTCATAAAGCAGTTTTTCCACGAGAAAACACTACAATAGTAGAAAAAAATCTGTGTATAGATAATGAATTTTGGGCTTAGTAATCCTTGTCGCACTTCGTTTTGCATAATTTCAATGTGATTGGTTAAAAAAACTGACGCTGATAGAAAATTTCTTCTATTTTTACGAGGCAGATAAGTTTATATGATTGAGTTTTGGAAAGTAGTTCCACAACACCAAGAAATATTTAATAATTTACAACCTCACTCTTAAAAACTTTATACGCGTCAAAAATATCATTCCTGGAGTGCATATGTATAAACATGTTGCCTGACCTGTCTAGTGTTCGAATTTCTAAAGATAACCTTGATTCTTGAAGACTTTCACGGGTATTACGAGGGATTTTCCAAGAAGGATGAGAGATGCACAATATAAAGTTTTCTATTGGTTTCTGAACAATTTTTGATAGAAGCAAGATAGAGAGCTGCAGTTCTAACCTCTTTATAGAGACTATCTACACAGATGAATACGTGATACAACCTAGTTGCACAGAAATACTTAGAACAATCCAAAAATAGTGGCTAGGGTACTTTATTTTCTTACAGAAAGTTTAAAAAAATTTTCTTTCTCTATGATGTGATACAGAAAATGACGCTCTATTTTTCTATGCTATTCGATCACTATTCAGCTAGTATTATACTAATAAAATTTTGATAAGAAGTATTTCTGTTGAAAACTTATTGATAGCATTAGATCATAATGGGTGTGGCATCAATAAAATGGGATACTTTTGTATTTCATTTTGTCATTACTTAGTACGTCGTATTAAAAAAACAAAATATACCACAATATGCAGCGTAAAAAGCTCCACAATTTACAAGGAACAATTATAAAAAGATCAGATAGAAAAAAGTCAAATTCGTCTTTTACCAAAAATATCTCATTTTTCGCAACGTGAAAATTGGTTCACCCGGACTTCTACTCATTTTGAAAACCAAATATGCAGCTATAAAATAAGCAATCCTTTATCAAGTGTAGAGCTTTTCACGCTGCATCTTGTGGTATATTTAGTTTTTTCTAAATACAACGTGCTAAGTGATAATAATATGAAATGCAAAAGTACACCATTTTTTTAATGCCACACCCATTATGATCTAATGCTATCAATTAGTTTTCAACAGAAATACTTCTTATCGAAATTTTATTATTATGATATTAGCTGAAGAGTGATCGAGTAGCATAGAAAAATAGAGCGTCAGTTTCTCTATCATGCCATAGAAAAAGAAAATCTTTTTAAACTTTCTATAAGAAATAAATTACCTCCGCCACTACTTTTGGGTTACTCTAAGTAGATATAAGTTTTTTTACTTCGCAAAATTTTTTTTTATTGAGCAATCACAAATTAACTTAGAGTTCAATATTTTCACTTAACAGTCAATTTATCTACTGATCAGATACAAATTTTACTTGACAAAAGTCAACTTAGCATTTTAATAATTTTACTTAGCAAATAAATTGTCACCAAAAATCCTCAAAAATATTCGTATAAGGTA